AAAAGTTCTTTTTTTCGAAAAGGATTCTGCCAGGTTGGGTGATCTATTCTAAACAAGGATACCATATATGCGGTTTTAGAGAGCAAGTTGCAATACATCGAATAGCATATTAAAAAGAAATACCAGGTTTTATGAAAATTTTGCTGCGCTAAGGATCGATACACTGGTAATAATGCTTGAAGAATATTATAGAGGACTCATCGACATTGTAATTCGAAGACGAACTTATACAGATTTTCTTTTAAACTCAATTCGATACAATTACTTTTTCATATCCGCATATTCCCATTTTCAAGGAAGTCTGAAGGTGTAAAAAAATTTTCTCCATTCCTAAAGGTGTTATTTATAGTAATTCATCAAGGATGCTGTACTTATTATTGATACATAAAAATTTTTAATACAACCCTTGAGCATTATTAAAATATCGTCAATATACCAACCGCATCATATAAGAAAATAGAGAACAAATTTTCAAGCTGACACCCACACTCTTGGTGTTTTGAAAAATACCATTTGATGCGCTACAATTTGCTCTTCAAAACTACACATATAACATCCTAGTTTAGGATAGACTATCAAATCTATCAAGTTTCTTAAAGAATTAATTTTTACAATAGTTAATGGACGATGAAATGGAACTTGGCATGGGTATACATGGTGAAAGTGGTGTACAAAAATTAAAATTATTACCAATACGACAAACAATTGATTTAGCATTAGATCAATTATTTATTGGTCCACGTACACTTGACCTTCAACCTGATAGTAGTGTACTACTTTTTGTCAATAATCTAGGTTTAATTGTTTTGTTTTTTTTTACTTGTTTTTATTTGATTTTATTTTATTCACTATTTTGAAGGTGGTTGTTCAAATCTTGAATTGGGTATTATTGTTAAAGAGGCTGTTGAAAATTTAGAACAACGAAAATTAAATGTTAAACGTGTTATTTGTGGAGAAATGATGACATCATTTAATATGAAAGGTTTTTCATTAACTGTACTTAAATTAGCAACAGATATGAGTTCATCAATATTAAATTTACTTGATGCACCAACTGATGCTTTTGCTTGGCCGAAAGTAATTAGTCCAACACAATCAACAAATAGTATTCAAGCATTATCAGATTCATTAGAATTTAATGAACAATTTAGTTCACAAATTGTAATTAGGTAATGAATATTTTTCAATGAAAAGAAAAGAAAAAGGACAACATTTAATTTATAATTAATATTTTTATTTTTATTTTTAGTGAATCTCCTTTATCATTTAATTCATCTGATAGCGAATTAATTAATCAAGCACTTCAAGGAATTGTTAAACGACTTTATAGTGAAGCAGATGAATTAAATCGATTAGATGCTGTTTCAGGTGATGGTGATACAGGTACAGCATTTATGCGAGCAGCTGATGCTATAGCACGTGATCTTGCTAATAAAAAATTAGTACTTCATCGACCATCATCACTTTTCCGTCGTCTTGGTCTTATTGCAGAAAGTCGAATGGGTGGAACATGTGGAGCAAGTAAACTATAGACAATTGTTTTCTTAAATAGAAAAACATAATTTCGTTTTTCTTTTTTTTAGTTTGTGGATTATTTTTTGCAGCTACAGCTAAACAATTATCATTATCAAATCAATCACAAAAAATAATTGATAGTCTTTGTGATGCATTTGAAGCAGGAATACAATCAGTTGAATCCTATGCACGTGTACAACCAGGTGATAAAAGTTTATTAGATGCACTTATTCCAGCTGTTGATTATATTAAATCAAAACGCAAACAACAAATTTTTACATCAAAAGATTGGAGAGAATTAGCATTTGTTACTGAACGAGCTACTCAAGAAACTAGAAATTTTATAGCTAAAGTTGGTCGAGCTGCATATACAAAATCTGTAGAAATTACTGTAGTTGATCCTGGTGCTAAAGCTGTTTCTATTATAATTCAAGCAATTTGTGATATCTTCATCAGAGCAAATATTAAATAAATATGATCTAACATACACAGACACACACATTCCAAGACCTTTACTATTTGTCTTTCCTAGTCGTTTTATATCTTTCTAATGAATTAGAATTTATAGATTTTAGTTATGTTGCAAACGAACAAAAAAAAACATACTAATAATAATAGTTTATATTTGTCTCTTTTCATGTTAATTCTTTTAGTGATACTTTTGTTAAAATTTATTTCGATTTGATATGTTATGAAATGTTATTATTGTATGCGGATGAATGTGTGCTGTTAAGTTCTTTTTTTTCTTTCCATGAATTTGTTTTTAAACAGTTATGAAAGATTATAGAAAAACAAGAAAAGTTCTTATAATGATTCTTTTTTTTTGTTCTCATCATAAATATTAATATTGAAAGATGGTGATCATGCACTGCTAACATATCATAGACAAATGAAAAATTGTGTAAGTTCGAAATGAGCGACAAGAAAATAGATTTATTCTATGTGGCTTAGGTTCAGATATTTTGTTCTAATTTTTTTAGTTTTGATTTCCTAGATCGAACAATATAATTGGTAAACAGGTCGTATTACCTTAAATTCACAATTTACTACAATATAATAGTATACAATCGAGAGCTTTTATTGAACTGTATCTCATGAAATCAATTGTGACGTTTAAAAAAATATCTTTAAGTTAAGTTTTGTAATAGTCAACGCTGCTGTCATTGTTAACTTTATATAAATATATATAGGCGTTTTAATATTTCACATCTGTCATTTCTGCATAATATGTTTTTCAAATCTAATGCATGATATTTGACAATAGTTTCTATGAATAAATGAACTCTTCCAATGTGTTATATCTATAGGAGAACATCAAGACTCTCATTTAGAATAAATAACGAAATATTTAAAGCCCATTACAGTGAAAATACAGTTACCTAAGCCTCGCTAAGTTTAGCCATGTAGGAATTGGTACAAATATCGTAAACAGCATAATATCCTACATATGAAAAGTTCACATTTAACTATTTGTGGCCATAAAGAAACAACATATGATAACCGTAATAAATTACTTAGGTTAGCAAGCTTCAGATAAGACACTTTCATTTTCTTTCTTTAAGACAGCAACACAGTTTAAAAACGTTATTCTAAATTCATTCGATAGAGAATTTTTTGTTCTACAAAACTGTTGACTTTATTCTTCAATATAAGTTTCTCTTCTCGTAGAAAAATCGAGAAGACTAAGTTGTTGAACTGCGCCTATCAGACAACAAAATAGTTTTAAAAAATATGTTTAAATAAGAGTTTCATCGAAATTCAAATTATGCTGCATCTCACAATGTTTCGCAATTATAGAAAAAACAATTGGAAGAACAATTTTTTTAAGCAAAAAATTAGAAAATGACACGGGACTCTTTCTAGTAGCTCTACGCCATTAGGAACATTCTAAAGATTTTCGTTGTTTTGTTTAAATGTTACTTCATTTTGTTCAGAATTAAATTATGTGTTCGATGATATAATTATAAACCGTTCATAGAGCATACTAACTTTTAAAAACACGAATTTCGAAAGCACATTCAAAACAAGAAACCATCAGCTATTAGTTTCGAGTCTTTTGCAGCTGAACGATTAAACTTGATGAACACAAGCTTGCACAAATAGTTAGATGTCTACAGAAAATAGTCGAAGATCGCAATTGGACATTGAAGCAACTTTCAATCTTTCCAATTTTTTGTTGACAAGAAAAACTTATTTGACAAACACAGTTCATATTTTTTGTAGAGGAGAAAATTCCCTACTGAATGAACTAAGAATGGTGCTTTTGAACAGTGTTTCCGTTCCTGAAAAAACAAAAAATCAAATTGTCTCATTATTTATGGACCACCCGTTCCTATTGACTATATTTGGTGACCTATTTTGAACCACGATACCATATATGTGGTTTTGTAGAGTAATTTATGGCGCATTGAATAGTAAATAAGAAATCAAGTTCTCTTCAAATTTTGATGTGCCAAGAGTCTACATACTGAGTATAATCCTTAAGAAAAATATCTAATACTCATAGACACTATGGTTCCTAAGATGTTCTAAGATAAACTTATGCGAACTTTGTTTCTCAACTTAATTTGATACAGTTGCAGGTACTCTTCGATTTTCTATAATCAATAGTTTTTATCGTTTCTTTCTTCATATGTAAAACTGATCCCTTTTCTTAGGTCTAGGTTATTTCTCAACTATATGATATTCTAGTGTGTACAACTCTGTGATACAGAATCAGTGTGTACTAACGTGAAACTTTCTCAAAAATCATGCACTAACGAGCTTTATAGATTCCACAAATAACATCTTTCGAAACAGCAGGGAGTCATTGTCAATTTGCAAGATTACTTCTTAGAATAGTCTAGTTTTTCTATATCAATGAGCCAGTATATTGACAGTATTTTAACAGTACTCAATGCTTCTATTAAAAATTTTTATGACAGTAATAATTGCCACAGCATCCGTGATGAAATGATATAAATAGCTCATTTATAAAAGGAAAGAAATTGTTTGGGCTTCAGACTTCTGGCAGGAGGATATGAAAGTATGGAAAAAATTATTAATAAAATAAATATGAAATATTTATAGATTCTTTTAGTGTTTCATGCATAAGTCAAATCTGAATATTCGAAATAATAAAAGTGCCAGACCTCCTTCCTGCAATCCTATACTCGTACTCTTCTGCAGGAGTCGGGAAGCTAAAAAAAATTCTTTTCCTTTTATAAATGATCTATTTATATCATTTCATCAGGGATGCTGTGCTGATTATTACTGTTATAAGAATGTTTAATAGGATCGTTCAGTACTGTTAGAACATCATCAATTTACTGATCTCTTCATATAGGAAATCAGATTCTTCTAGAGAACAATATTACAAGTTGACAATGAATCCCTACTCTCTCGAAAGATACTATCTGTAAGACATACAAAACTTGTTAGTGCTCAATTTTTCAGAAAGTTTTACGTTGGTTCTCACTTGTTCTATGGCATAGAGTTGAACTCATCGAAATATCAAATAGTCAAGAATAATCTAGACCTAAGAAAAGCGACAAGTTTTAAGTATGAATAAAGTAATGATGAAAACTATTGATTATAGAAAATCGAACAACACCTAAAACTGTATTGAATTAAGTTTAGAAAAAAAAGTTTTCATAAGTTTATCTTAGAACATCTCATGGACTATACTGTCTGTGAATACCATAAATCTTTCTCAAGGATTATAACCAGTATGTGGATTCTGAGTACATCAAAAAGTTGAGAAACACTTGATTTCTTATTCATCATCTGATGAGCGACAAATCACTTTAGAAAATCATATGTATATATATTATATTCTGGTTCAAAGTAGGTCACTGAATCCGGCAAGGTTCTTTCAATATTTATCAAGAAGAAACATCAGTTAATATTATGCACGAGAGCATAAATATTCACAAAACATTTGTTTTTTTTGACTCATCAGGTGTGATTAAATTGTCGATTGTAACGACACCAAAAAAACAATTGGCTTATACTCATATATCAGAATGACATCGATAAGAATTGTAGTAAATCAATAAAGATATGATGTAAAATACTTGCTTGATTTTGTAATTCAAAGTTCATTGATACAAAATAAAATATTTCTTAATGAATTCGATCATCAAATACAATGATTTCTATTTCAAACTTAACATATGTCATGTCTATACAAAAATAGAAACTGATTGTAGGAAAAAAGAACGTTTATTTGAACTGATAAAAAAATTTTTTTTTTCTAAGTCTGATAATTCTAGTTAAGATAATCGAAAAACATGATAAGAAAATATTATTCATCAAACACTACAACATATCAACAATATGAACAAAAACAACCTGTTTGTTTTTCTTAATAAAAAAAATCTTCAAATAATATAAACAAAAGTACAATTATGTATTTAATATTAGTATTTTGAAAAAGACTGTGTTTTTTTAATATCAAGGTCAAAGAGACATGATTATGTACAGAGAAATACGGTGATTCATAGAGAGGAAAAAACATTCATTTACTGTCTTCATAAAGAGAAACTGCGTACGGCCTTCGTCTTACTCTGCTCCTCTCCGAATATAATTGTATTGTTTCTTATAAGGTTACGAATTGTAATACTAGGCCATATTTCACGATAAAATATAGAATGTATACAAACAATAGTGGCCCGATCAGGGGAAGGAGGGCCGAGAGTGTAATACTTCTTCCTCTCAATCGTAGAAAATTTTTGTTTCTTCCCAGCAAAGCTGAGATTTTCTTTTTGCTTTCTGTTGAAAGAAAGATATTCTCTCTTTGCAAAAAAATAATAAACGCGACACGCCCTTCTCTCATGATGGCTATTTTTTGGGCCACCACTGTATACAGACGTATATAGACTCAGTATTCGTTGATCTGGGAAACTCTATTCGAATTTATTGAACATAAAGAACAAGTTTCTCAGATTGTATTCTGATTTTATAATTTCAAGATAAAAGTTTTACTTGATAGATGACGTAACTACTAGTGGATAAACTAATCAAATAAAACAAAAAGAAAAAATGCATAAGTATCTGAAGGGTGCTTTGATAGTTTATAACTATTCGAAAAAAAACTAAACTTAATACATGAGTTAATTTGATAAGATAAAAGTAAAATTAGTTGGTTTAACTTTTGTAAGTTTATTTATTGTAAATAAATATAATTCACTCGTGATTTGAAAATAACTATTTAATCGATTATTTAACTGAATTATGATATTTTATTGTGTATTCTCGAATTGTATGAGCAAAATTTATTGATGGTATGTTTTTGAATGAAAGAAAAACTTGTTGAACTATTCTACAGTTAATTATAATCTTATCAAGTTTTGAAACAACCTGCTGGTTATATTTATGTTCAATTGTCTAATCCATGGATAGACGAAGAAGGAATTCTTATTTTAAACTTTTTTTCAGGAATAAAAGTTAGTAGAATTATTGATTCTAATTTCTTATTTCTGTATCGATTAAAAGTGCTGCTGTTAGTTGAAAAATATTTTATAAAGCGATTGTGCTTTTCTATTTTCTTTAATTACGTTTTGTTATAAAATGTGAACGACATGTTTTACTGTCATCGAAAACAATACGTTTAACTTTCCATTTGGAAATAAACGTTCTGTTTTTTGTGTAAAATAGAAACAAAAAACTCAAGCAATGGATCAAACTGACAAAAACATTTTTCGAATTTTGAATGATGTTTTATTGACGACATCAACTATTTGAATGTTTTCCATGATAGAACAAAGAAAACAAAATTTTTAAGTCAATTAGAATCATGTACAAGGCTGTTGAGTTTTTTTTTATCTTCTTTAGATTCTTGACTGTTGATGCATATTTACTTATTGATATGATTATGCAATCATAATATTATGAATAGTAACAATATAAAAACAAAATAAATATATTTTAATCTTATGAATCAAAATCTTTCTGTCATTTTATTTCAAACATACACCTTACTGATCTTGCTGAACTATCATCGGAAGAGAAAAAAAAAAGAAAAACATACATAGACAAATAATAATCAATATGATCGATTTTTTGTCTATCTATCAAAAAAAACAACAATCAAGATATATTTACAAAGACATAGTTGATAGGACGGGAACGAATTGGTTTCTTTCTTTTTTTTTTCTTTTTATAACATCAATAAAGAATTGTTGACAAATAACAAAAACTCTGATTGTATCACTTATGATTGAACAACTTTTTTTATAGTTAAACCTAATTTATTAGGATTGTCTGTTATAATAACATTATATGTGCATGATTGATTATGATTTTGTATTGGCTCATTATTATTTATTGTCTCATTTGTAATTGATGAAGAAAGAATATCAAACACATTTGTATCTGGCTCAATCATGTTGATTGTATGATTATTGTTATTTGTATTGATTTCTTCAACAAGACGTGTTGGTGTTTTTATTGGTCTTGTACGTGTACGTTTTTGTTCATTTGATGACATAAATAATGTTCTTAAATGTTGTTCAATTTTATCTTTTGTTATAACAGTTACTAATAATGATTGATCATTAATTGAACATTTTTTTTTAATATTTCTTGATGTTATTGAACGTGATTGTGTTTGTAACTTTCCATTTTTATTACGTTGACGTTTTTTATTTGTTTTACTTTGTTTTTTTGATGATATCATGGAAGAATTTCGTGATATTGTTGATGGACATGATGATGAATGTTCTCGTGAATATATTGTTGAATTTGTTTGTTCATCGTCTTCATGTATATTAATATTAATATTATTTATTATTGCAGATGATACATAATCCGATGAACATGATAGAGTTTCATCATCAAGTTGAATTATTTCATCATTACAATCATTTGAATCAACAATAATAAATGATGTATCGAGTTCTGTACGAATTGATTCTTCAATTGGCTGTTCTTCTTCAACAGAAGCCACAACTGGCATCCTGTCATCATCATCATCATCATTATTATTATTAGTAGTAGTATTATTATTATTATTATTATTATTATTATTATCATCATTGATTGTTGGAAAAGTTACTTGATCATTTGGAGATTTTACTGACATTTCATCAGTAATTGATTGAGTTATTTCGTCGGGGAGTGGTAATTCTGGTGATGGATAATCAAGTTCTTGAGGAATAGTATTTGATAATGGATTTATTTCATTAGGTGTTGATATTGGTGATATATGACGAGTTGTTGGCATTGTAGTTTTACGTTTTTTAGCACCTGAAATCGATATATGAATATGTCGAAATAAAATTCATTAGTTTTTCTATTGATCTAATTGTAATAGATTCTTTAGTTGATAGTAGAATTTCAACAAGAGAATAGTACTCAAGAAAATACACAAAAATAACAAACCTTGAAATCAATGAAAAAGATTTTCCTGTTAGATTTGTAATAAATACCTGCTAATGGTGATTTAACCATTGATTGTTGTTGTATTTCATTGTTTGATGATGATGGTAATAAAGTCATACTAATTGAACCACGTTTAATATCATTTAAAAGCTCAATACATCTATCAAGATTACGTTTATAAACATAATAATCATTATCATCATCTTGATTATTTTTAATAATTTGATTTTCATCTTCATCTAATTTAATTAATGGTAAAAGTAAATTTGTTTGACACCATTGAATAAATTTTTGATAATCAATATTAAAAGAAAATTTTTGAAAAATTTCTTGCACAGATATTTTCCAATCATTAATTGATATATCAGATGATTTAACAATTGCATTTAATACATGATTATCATATATAATCGTTTTTATATCAGGTTGTTGTACAGATTTTTGTATTGATAAGGCTGGTTTAGGAGTTGTTAAACCATAAAAAGATGGATGATGAATCATTGGATTAACAACAACGTTTGTTAATGGATATTTATTTAGTTTGTGTGTTGTTGTTGATGTTCCAGCTTAAAAATAAAAACGAAAGATTTTTTTTCTTTTTGATTTAAAACGAAAAAAAAAGGAAATAAATAAATTTGACATACTTGTAGGTTTTGGTGGTACTTGATTACGCATAACTGAATTTAATAATTTATTTTGTTCGTATTGTTGATGTTCATGTAATGTACGAAAATGAATAGGTGATTGTAAATTTGCACATCTTATATTAAATATATCAACAAGTAAAGTATCCGATGTTAATGGTTGTGTATCAATTGAAAAATAAATAAATAATAAATTTAAATAATCAATTTCATATTGTCTTGGTGCGCGTGCACCACGTTTAGCTTGTATAAGTATATTTGGTACTGAATGAAATGTATATAAAAGTGGTACATAAAAACGACTATTTTGTACAATATATGGTATCAATCGATTTCCATTTGTAATCAATGTACCACCTTTATGTGTTAATATATCACCATGATATTTATTAACTTGTGATCGTGGATTTTTAGTTGGTAAAAATTTAATATAAAAAATACGATTAAGACCTATCATAACATGATATAAATTAACTAATAAAGTTTTTTCAGGTACTTTTTCATCAAATATATTTATATTTGTGATAAGATTATTTAAAATATCAAAATCTTGTTGTGTAGCTTTGATAAGAAGTTTTTTTAATGTAAATTCATTATCAGAAAAAATATTACATTTAATAAGAATTTCATATGGAACATAAAATTCACGTTGTAATTGTGGTGCTGGTTGACGTGTATGACATTTATTTAATTCATTTTCACGTAGTTTTATTTTAACAATATAAGGAACAAAAACATTATTTATTTGTACCCAACCAGATTCTTTAGAACTCTTTTGAGATGATAATAATTGTTCTTGTTGTCGATGATTTATTTGTGATGGAATATCGGGATTTTGCGGTAATAAATGAATTTTTGATTGTTGTTTTATAGATGATAATATTTGTGTAGGTAATTCAAATGATTGAGATTGTATATTTGGTTTAAGTGGAACGGGAGTTAGTCGTGGTAATGGTGCTATTGGTCGATTAAATGTTGTTGTTGATAAAGTATCTCGTAATTTACGTAAATTATTATAAAAATCCAACAGATCTTCAAAACAAATGAGACAATCTGATGATGGAAGTGTTTTAAAATGAAAACTTGCTAAATGCCATTCAATAATTAAACGAAATAATTTAAGTTCATATTCTGTATATGAATAAGATACTAATGGTGGAAGTGAACGAGCTAATAGTGTATATCGTTGCCATGATTCACTTTCAAATAAAGTATGTTCAACATACATTTTAGATATATAACGTTGACTTATACCATTTTCATGTCTAGAATATCAAAAAAGAAATTAGATTTCTTTAGAAATCAATTGAATATCTTAACAATATTCATCTTGCTGTGTCTTTTCAATCGTTTTTCTTCCCCTAATACAAAACTATTGTTTCAAAAACAAATTATTTCTATATAGTATGTCAAAATAGAAGTCGAAACTTTTCAATCTTAATTTCGATGGTTTCCATTAACATACACGATAAATTATCTATCCTTTTTTTTGTTGATTATTGAAATAGAAAACATGTTTTTCCCTTAGAAATAAAAAGACTTCTTTTTTTTCTTATATGAAGCTCAGTGCATAAAACGCATGACTAATTTTAAAAAAACAAGCTGTTGTTTTTACATATTAATACCTGTATATAACTGGTAAGTAACGTCCTTCAATTTCTTCCCATGTAAAATGATTTAAACGACTTGGATAATCGATTGTTGGTGATATCGAAGTTGTTTTTAGTGAAGAATTTGTTGATACTGTTGTTGTTGTTGTTGTTGTTGTTATATTATTAAGTAACTTTGTCATTTCATTTGGATCAGCCATTGTATGACGATATGGAGTGACACCATTATAATGAGAGATATTTGGAGGTACAGCTGTTGTAATTACTTCCGATAGATGAAGATTTTTAACAATAGCTGCATGTTGCTGTTCAATACGTTGTTGTTTATTTTGATGATTTTCAAGTTTAATTGGTGATGTCATTGTTGATGAAGTCGGTGAGAATAGAAGAGCATCTGAATAATGATAGAGTTTTTTTAATAAATTTAAACGTAGATTGATAATGTTAAGGGAATGCTTATAAAAGATCACTCGCTATGTATCTTGTTTTTTTCTTCTAGTTGTGATACTTGCATTTGCTTACTGATTCATCAAGATAAATACGAAGTTAATAATATGAAATGAGAATACCTTACGTAACTGATGATTAATAGGATGTTTTATTTTCCGACACTTGATTACTATTCTCATTGCTAAACTTCACAGCATGTCGTGTGAAACATACAAAGTTTTCTGTTTTTTTCTTCCTCGTCTCATTACACATTACCAACATTACGATGGCAAAAGGGTTGAGAAAAGGGTTTAGCCCTTCTGCGCATTCTTTCATTCTCTCGATAACGATAGCAATGCTGATGGTTACCCTTTTCAATCGTTCGCTGTGTCTGTCTCTCTTTTTCTACATCGAACAAGCATGCATGTCTTTGCCTGCAACATATTACATATATAATTGCGAACGAAAGAAACCTCGTGCACATAGAAGGAAAAGAAGAGACATAGCCGACGTCGGTCTTGTTCGTACTAACCTCGTGCAAACCGATTAACTTATGTAAGAAACTTTCCATGTTAGCTAAAGTCATTAGTACTAAAATTTTTCTTTTCCTTATCAATTAAGAATAAATAGCATCAACAATTTTTAATAAATGTGATAAAAATAAAAAAATATAAAACATAAGACGTCTTGATTATTGAACGTTTTATAGGTATCAAAAAAAAAAGCCTAATAGAATAATAGATAGTTATTGAGAAAAATAGAATAATAATCAATTGATTGAGATGTCTAACAAGAAAAAAAATTCGATAAAACTGTATATATATATATATATATGTGTGTAGAAAGACGATAAAAAAACCATGGAAACCAAATGCATATTTTTTGTTGATGACTGTTTTGCTATGACATGTATATGTATGCATTTGTTTCTATTGGAAACAAATAGAAGTATGTTATACACACGCAAAGTTTTGGCAACAAAGACTCATTTTAATAGTAATCAAATATATGAGTTATGTTGCTTATCTTGTCAAGTATTTCATAATAGTTTTTTTTTTGACAAGCAAAAAAAAAAGACTATGTACATTTGTACATATGTTCTAGTTGGTTTATACAATATTTAAAGCTGGGAATTTTTTTCTTTTGAAAAAAGACTGTTGGATAGAAGAACTTAACTTTTAGACGAACAATTTCATGTTTAATGAACGAAAGTTCAAAAGAGCATATAAACATACGCATGGCAATATCGAAAAGTAGAATATTTACTTCTTTCCTTCTTCTGTTAACGATCCGTCGGCTTCTGCGAGTAGAATGGGCGTATATCTTAACTTTTATATTCCTCACTCTTTTCTTTTCTATTGTCTCCTCTATATCCATTGGCAACCTTATCTTTTATGTCTATCTGTTTTTCCTATATATCCGATATCATCCCTAGACTATTTAATTACAAGATACTTATATTCTTACCTCTTTTTTGTGGTTGATGAGGGGATATTTTTCGATTTTGTCGTTTTCGACGACGATGACTATCAACTGATACAATGTCATGTCTTGATAAATCCTGAATAATAGGTGGATGATTATGTTTTATAGTAAGAGTGGGTAATGACCCATTGCCAATTAATTGATGTGCACGCCCATTACAATGGGAACGATCTTCACATCGCCAATAAATAGTACGATTTTGTATTTTGTCTTGTACGTAACGATGACCATGATATATTAAACATGGTTTATGACGTTTTGTTTCAGCAAGTGAATATTCTTTTAAATGCATATTGTTTATATCTGTTGTCATATATATATATATATATTATATAATAAATTGAGTGTGAAATAAGTTTTATTTATATCGTATTTGTGTGAATAACTAACTGATGTGAACTTGTTGACAATATGTTAATTATTCGACGAAACACACGCACTGCCCTCTTTGTCAGCCCCACAAACGTGCATGCATAGAACGCGAACGACTTCTCTCGTTCTGTTCGTTTTTCTTCTTCTTCTACTTCTTTTTTCTTTATGATTCTTTTGATCGTTCGCACTTTTTTTTTTATTATAATATTGTTGTTTCTATCGATCCATATCAGTGCTTAGCAACCATTTCGTAATAAAAGAGACTTTTAATGCTATTCTACTAAATTACATAATCAATTTCAAATATTTTCTATCTATGTATTGCTTTTTTTGCATTTTCTGCATTAATAGATTTTCTTTAGTTGTCATATATATGTAATTTTCAACATTATTTCTAATTGTTTTATTATATTAGGAATAATTGCTAATCAGTTCACGTTTCATTTGCTTTCGATAATGCACTCAAAGAACCTCGCACCGCCCGTTTTTCTTTTTTTTTTTTTATTTATTTATTCGCTTTTGTTCTTCTTGTCGCTATCGCTTTTCTTTGCAAGTTTTGTTTCATCGTTATTACGTGTAAGTTTATAGAGGAGAAAAAAAAGAAATGCATACAGAAAAATGAATATCAAAGCGAGTGAAGTATCATTTGTACTTCTATGCAGCATTCAACATAGTAACTATTTTAGCCCATATGTCAACTATACGATGTGAACAGACAGTAAAAAATTGTTTCGCTCATGCCTTTTGATAAAGCAAGCAATGAGCATTCATCTTTACTACGTTTTATCGTTCAATTTCAGTCATCCAATCGAATTTGTCGTGTAAAATGCACGGTCAAAAATCATCGGACCTGTGTGTTTGATATTGGCTTACGGCCAACAATGGGGCAACGCAAGGGTAGAGGAAAAGAAAGAATCAGCAAATAGAATGATATTTGTCTATCTGCATGTTAATACTACCGAATAAGATAACAAAAAAAAAAAGGTTTTAACCAAGGCTAAATATTTCAAATCCTTTATTCATCAAATATATTGAATTAAAACTGAATATCAAAGAAATACATTGAAAGTAAAAAAAAAAAGAATTCTTTCTAAACAATAAACAAATAGTATAACATTATCATCTGTCAATATCAATATATAGTTTGTAATTGATGTCTAGATTGTATAAAAATGTTCTATACGAATTTAATGGAAATAATGAAATAATTAATTCATTAGAAAATTAGATAAAAGCTAAAAAAGAAAATTCTTATCAGTTTGTCCTTAGATTTCCATTGAAAGTTATCTTATAACCTTGACATACACATTATACTTTTTTATATTTACATAAGACATTCATCGAAAAAATTCCATTTTTTTTTGTACTTTTTTCGGTACTTCAAAAACATAAAATGACCTTGAATTCTATTCAAATACCAAGGACAATGTAACTTCGACGTGCACCTATGCTTTTCTTCTTAGCTAGAAAATTCAATCGATTTCTCGAACAAATTCAATTAATTTAAAAATAGAAATTTTTGTTTTTTTTTCGTAGTTTTGTCCTTAAGTTCATTTTTTGATGTTTTATTTCTATAAGTATTTTGAAAAGATTTTCAACCAATTATACATGTTTAGTTTTTGATTATGACACATATGCACCATTTTTGGGTGGAATAAGTTACAGTGTCCAATGCATGACATTTATTCAGTTCGTAAAACAAAAACAAAAAGAAGAACATTGATTTTAACTTTAATAAATGATTGAAATTGTTCATTATTGCCTTAGCGAATAATTCAAAAAAAAATGTCTATATTGTTATTTTAAAGTCAGACATTATTTTAAAAAAAAAACAAACAAATAATGCCTCAAAATGCATAGACAAATAAACGTATTCTTTTTGTTTTTTGTTTAATAGGGATGACGCATATGCAACCGTCATTCTATGACGATTATCCATGAAGGAGGATAGATTGAATAAAAATGAATGGTTCAATTTGATGACTATTGTTTGAAAAAAAGAAGAAACAATTCAATTGAATGTATTAGATGGAATTAAAAAATGTCTAATTTTGATAGTTTATCATGTCATTCAATATCATTTGAAATGCAACAAAATTTTCTATGTTCATTTTGTCATCATTTACTTGTTGACCCAAAAGTTATAACATGTGGTCATCGATATTGTTCATTATGCTTGAAAAAAATCATCAAGTAATAGACTTTTTGAATTGACTTAATTTGTTTAAATAATTTAGTTTGTTTTTACATTTATATTTAGAAATGATGAATCAACAATATGTATTGTAGATAATTGTAGTCAAATTATTATGAATGATGGAGTAAAAAATATCGATTTGATAAAATATAATAAATGAGATTTCTTTGTCGTTTAGATTTATAAAGATTTTGGTATTGAAAATGATTTAAAACGCTTAACAGATATTATTTGTAATAATAAATCAAATGGTTGTTCTTGGCAAGGTAATTATATGTCCTACAAAGTAAGTTTTCTATGATAAATTTGAGAGAAAATAAAACAAATAATCGTTGATTTTTTTTGTTCATTCTTAAGGAACATTTACAAATTTGTACATTTCAACGAATTCAATGTGAATATTGTTC